TATGTGTGTGTGTGTGTGTATGTCTATATATATATACATGTGGATATGTACCAACGAACAAGTAAATAGATTGGACAAATAGCGAGAGTGTATGGTATAGTAGTCGTAGTGTAGCCTGGGAGGAAAATAGGCCCTGTTGTTTAGGTGGTATGGCAAAAATGCTCGCTAACCTTCGCATATGAATCTCTCCCTAACTAAAATAAGAAAAACCGGTCACGTACCTAGAGATGAGCAGTTTATATAACATGAATGCACTCGTTGTGTATAATAAACAGCGATATACAATACAATAGACGAGTATACTCATGTGTACGAATGTATATATATATCCATTATTATATGTATTGGTATAAATACATGAGAAACATACAAATATCCGTACCCCTTCCCGGGAAAACATATAAAGGGTGAAGGGGCGTAGTGTCCCTGTCGAAGACCAAACATATTCAAAACAGCTATTATAGTATTTAAGGTATCTTAATGAGTTTCAAAAGCTATGGACTATGGAATAATGCCGACAGCCGAGCTGAGCAATGTAGGGATGTATATATATATGTATACAATGTATATATGCATATATTTATCCAATGTATGGTTTTATATATGTATCCAATGTATGGTTGTATATATGTATCCAATGTATGGATGTATATATGTATCCAATGTATGTATGTATAAATTTATCCAAGGTATGATTGTATATATGTATGCAATGTATAGTTGTATATATGTATCTAATGTATGGTTGTATATATGTATCCAATGTATGGATGTATATATGTATCCAATGTATATATGTATATATATAACCAATGTATGGTTGTATATATGTATATGTATACAATGTATGATTGTATATATGTATACAATGTATGTATGTCTATATTTATACTCTCTATGGTTGTATATATGTATACAATGTATGGATGTATATATGTACCCAATGTATGAATGTATATATTTATCCAATGTATGGATATATATATTTATCCAGTGTATGGTTGTATATATGTATCCAATGTGTGGTTGTAATATGTATACAATGTATGGATGTATATATTTATCCAATGTATGTATGTATATATGTATCCAATGTATGGTTTTTACATGTATCCAGTGTATGGTTGTATATATGTATCCAATGTATGGATGTATATATGTATCTAATGAATGTATGTATATATTTATCCAATGTATGGTTGTATATATGTATACAATGTATGGTTGTATATATGTATACAATGTATGGATGTATATATGTACCCAATGTATGAATGTATATATTTATCCAATGTATGGATATATATATTTATCCAATGTATGTATGTATATATGTATCCAATGTATATATGTATATATATAACCAATGTATGGTTGTATATATGTATATGTATACAATGTATGATTGTATATATGTATACAATGTATGTATGTCTATATTTATACTCTCTATGGTTTTATATATGTATACAATGTATGGATGTATATATGTACCCAATGTATATATGCATATATTTATCCAATGTATGGTTTTATACATGTATCCAGTGTATGGTTGTATATATGTATGCAATGTATGGATGTATATATGTATCTAATGAATGTATGTATATATGTATCCAATGTATGCATGTATATATGTATGCAATGTATAGTTGTATATATGTATCTAATGTATGGTTGTATATATGTATACAATGTATGGTTGTGTATATTTATACAATGTATGGTTGTATATATGTATACAATGTATGCATGTATATATGTATCCAATGTATGCATGTATATATGTATGCAATGTATAGTTGTATATATGTATCTAATGTATGGATGTATATATGTATTCAATGTATGGATGTATACATGTATCCAATGTATGTATGTATATATTTATCCAATGTAAAGATGTATATGTGTATACAATGTATGTATGTATATATTTATCCAATGTATGGTTGTATATATGTACCCAATGTATGGATGTATATATGTATCCAATGTATGGATGTATTTATGTATCCAATGTATGTATGTATATATTTATCCAATGTATGGTAGTATATATATATCCAATGTATAGTTGTAATATGTATACATTGTATGGATGCATATATGTATCCAATGTATTTTTGTATATATGTATCCGATGTATATTTGCATATATTTATCCAATGTATGGTTTTATATATGTATCCAATGTATGGTTGGATATATGTATCCAATGTATGGATGTATATATGTATCCAAGGTATGATTGTATATATGTATCCAATGGATGCATGTATATATGTATATATATAACCAATGTATGGTTGAATATATGTACCCAATGTATGGATGTATATATGTATCCAATGTATGGATATATATATCTATCCAATGTATGGATGTATATATGTATCCAATTTTTGGATATATATATTTATCCAAAGTATGGATGTATATATGTATCCAATGTATGTATGTATGTATGTATCCAATGTATGGATGTATTTATTTATTCAATGTATGGTTGTATATATTTATCCAATGTATGGTTGCATATATGTATCTCGAGCTGTACGCGTATACGTGTACGATCCTGCGCCAGCCGAGCTCTGGTCACAGGACAGCTACCGAAACTGCAGGGCACACCAATCTCTTACACAATAGGAAGACACACTGGTCATGTCACAACTAATTCCTCGTGAATCCAGAAAGTACATACACACTACACTTATATGCACGCAGCTGTATTTGCACACCCACATCCTGTTGGCGCCTCCGTATGTGTATGTTTGTCTGAGATTCTTTGCGGGTTTAAGCATTCGTTCACTATAGAGCTCGTGAACTAATAGGCCTTGAGTGTTCGAAGTACAAGTTTTAATATACTGGATGTAGCTGTCCATAATTATAAGACAGTCACTCATTTGTTATATATGCAATATTTCTGTATATATACATATAAATATCGATCTCCATCAATATATGATAGCTACAGCACCACACTGCCTGTGTTAATACAAATACCAGGTATGAGAAGAAACATTCACCATGCTTGCTTTGTATAGTGAGCTGATATGTGAGAAGCCCTTTAATAAGACGAGCGACCGTTGAACCTTACGCTCCTATACACTCCACTTGTTCTATTCAGCAGCCAAACGTACCCCGGCACATGAAGTTTGCGCTCATTAAAACATCGAAGGAACATATTGATGTGAAACCCTAAACCCTAAAACATCGCTTAAGTATAAACTGAGGCGTAACATATAATATTCAGTACAGTATAGAACTGTCCGCCAGGTACTTTCGAGCATGTTTTTTGTTGTTGTTGGAATTGTACCGTCCGTGTACACAGACCGGCCCGCAATAAAACGTTTGAATAGTGTGATAGTCCTGCGAGGGCTTTGTATCTAGTCCTTCGACCACGTACATGTGGTTGGAGCTCGGGTTTATGCGAGATATTAGGTTTGTGAAAAACTATAAAGGTTTATGCGAGATGTTAGGTTTGTGAGAGACTATAAGGTTTATGCGAGATGTTAGGTTTGTAAAAAACTATAATGTTTATGTGAGATGTTAGGTTTGTGAGAAACTAACCCCAGCTAAGTTAAACACATTGGTCTTGTATGTAATTATATACAGCTCCCCATATGCGTTGACCTCACATACGGTGCATATAGCGTTTAAGCTTAAACATACGCGGTAGGTGTTGTTACCACAAGCAATCAACGTCGTGGCATATACCGGATCACATTCTCAGACACTCTTGGTCAACTATCAATACGGATCATACTTTCAACACTACAACACATTCGAATAGACTACAACCCGTGCCACCACGAGTGCAGCTAAAACCACACCCGTATACCATGGCGTAGTAGCATCATCTCAACCAAAACTAACAGAACGTTTTAAACCATATGGCCACACTACAAGCATGCCGATGGAGCACCCGGACCTTCCACACGCCGAGTTCTATATCGCACAACCCGTGGTTTTTGGGGTTACACTACTGCAACTATTACTACATACGAGATCACTTCCTATTTTCACCCAGCATATCTGCCTAGAACCATCCCCTGCCCACATTAACACCCCCGCCTATAGACTTTAAAATCCTTTCTCCGTATACCTGCCAATATCCACTAACTCTCTATTACATCCATCCGTAATACGAAACCTCATTCCTCCTTCTCACACAGTAAACCTTACCTGCCAATAGACCTCCCCGGAGATCCCTTACTCTGCGTGCTTTCTTCCTCAAACCGATCCTCATCCATATCTTCGCCCGGATCGGCATGGCCAACTAACCCACTCAGACGAGTGCTGCCTTCGTAGTGGTTAGATAACCGTGTGTGAGAGGAAGGCATACCCTGTGTACTTGCATGGGTGTCTGCGTGTCTATGCCGACTTGTATTTGTATTTGTGCGAGTGTGTGTATCTGGGTAAGTGTGTGTGTCAGTGTTTCTATTCGCGCGTGTACGGGTGTCTGGCTGTGCGTATGTGAGTGAGTATTGTCGTGCGTGTGTGCTATCCCGGTGGATAGAGCTCGTGTCACGTACGCTGGCGCTTCCTCTTTCACTCCCACGATACTCTCTACTGCTCTCCCTATTTCCAGATAAACCTGGTGTTGGCCTATTATTTGGCGTCTGCTGGGAGCGTGAATACCCCCCACTCACCCCAAGTGAGGATGAAGTATGTGTATGTGAGTATGGAAGTCCCGATGTGTGTGCTTTTTGCACTGGTGCGAATTTGTATGTGCTTGTATCTGCTACATCGCCTAAACCTCCATCTCTATCGTGTGCATGTGTGACTGAATGTGGGCGTGGCGCAATAGACATACTGTTTTCTCTCATACATACAGGTGCATACACGCCACTTGTCTGAGCGCGGGCCAAGGAGAGTGTCTTACTAAGTAGTCGTACAGACGGGTCCATCCTAGTAGACCCACCTACTCGATCATGCATGCTGTAGTTGCTGATATTAGCCTTCTGCGCACGCGTGTCTGACGATGCGCGTGCCCCAGTGTACGAGTCTGTATTCATATTTGTGGTTGTATTTCTATTTGTGTGCGAATATAACCCATTATTGGAGTTATTAGAGTGCGTCACATTACTTTCATGTGGGTTAATATCTCTTGTGTATGTACGAACGTACGTATTAGTACCGGAGTACGGTGCCACAGATGCTGACCTATTGAGCGTTGTATTGGTGTATGTAAATGAATCTCCACGCCCATTCAGCACACTGGCACTCCGCCGGTCACCTTGGTTAGGTGTTGATCGATACATTCTAGTGAAGCCTTCGGTACTCGTGTGCCATGCGATAGATACAGGTACGATGTAGTACTAGAAACTACGATGCATCAATTACGCACAGTGTAGCAGCTACATGTACGACTTATCGTTTGTGAAGTACTGCATGAACACCACGTAAAACCACACTCAGAGGAGCCACTATAGAGTGCTCAGAGATTATAACTGTGGTTACGAGGAATTAATGTTCGTATGATTACAGATGATATCCCTGTAGTTTCTCTCGAAGTGGTACTCTGTCGCAAACCTGACGTTAGACTAATAGTTGAATGTGTGTGAACGTGTGTAATTAACTTTGACACTAGTATATATATATATGATTGTGTACGTGTATATCATACTAAAACCATGCGTGTGTCCAGTATGTGCATAATCGACGACATCATAGGTTTCACCACCTGTCTAATACTGCAGATATATACATTTCGATTTGGCGCTGGTGATATAATATTAGTCTGTATTATATGTAAATAAATATTTGAAATACATGAGCATATCAACAAAATCTGTGTTGTGTACCAAACCGGCAAAACACCCGCCAAATAGTTTAACCAATTATATAGCCGAATGAATTAGAACTAAAAATAGATTGTGTTTAAAA